GGAAAGGGGAGTAAGCTGAGGTTGGGAAGTAGGTCGAAGTCGGCGTCTAGGACGGCGAAGTAGGCTTTCTGCAGGGGCAGAACATGATGACGGAGTCTGTGTGGRCRAAGTGGKTTSTGGATTAGGAAGAGGGGTAACGGATGGAGACAAAACCAGGGGAGGTAGGAGTGGTGACGACAGGGGTGGTAGAGTAGTTGGAAGGTGGGTAATAGACGGCGATAAAACCAGGGGAAGTAAAGGCGGTGCAGACGGGGGGGATATATACGGTTTACCAGGCAGCTCTGTTTGACGATATATACTGACAGTCTGTAGCGTCACACTACGTATCAGAGCGCAAAGGTGGAAAAAGACAAAACAAGAAAAGGAAAAGAAGGAAGGAAAGCCCCACCTGTTCATCACCTCTTACGTACAAGGCCAGCCACGTGGATGGCAGGATGAGCGCTGGCTGCCCCCATCCCCGTGTCTCACAAGGACCCATTTGCACGCAGCCAAAAGGCAGAGAGGTAAAGAAAAGGAGGAAAACAGACCTCACATAGGCAAGAGAAAGAGAAAAGGATCCAATCAAGGAAAAAACAAAGGAAGAGGAAGACCTATTAGTCAAATAACACATCCCACAGATAAACCAAGTGCCACTGTCACGACAAAGTTCAACATATTTTTTTTCTTTTTTTCTTTTTCCTTGTTTTCTTTTTTTCTTTTTTTCTTTTTTTCAGAAGTCTGTTCTTTTTTTTCTTTTTCTTTTTTTTTTGTTCTTTTTTTCTTCTTTTTTTTTTGTGTTTTCAATTTTTTCTTTTTTTCTTCTTTCCTCAACTCCACATTTGGTGATAGTATCTAAAGCTTTATATGTCCTACAATTAGTGTTGCTCCTGACCTGCTTGATTCTATTGACCAGTCAGAAAGAGGAGCCCCCACCCCGACAGATAGGACAGACACACTGAGGATGACGTGGATGTTCACAAGGAAACCCAAGGAGAGCTGCGCCAGCACAGCATTCAGCAGGACGGCTAGCACGGACCATCCCATCAAAACAGCCCTGACAAAGGACATGCTGTCCACATGTCAAAAAAACGGCAGGACGTTCATCACAGTCCGGCATCATGCAGTCCTGATAGCGTCCTTGTACATAAAAGGGACAAGGAATATCAGGGTGATAGGGATGTGTACAATGAGGGACTGTCGAACACCCTTCGGCCTTCGGCACAGACGCCGGCGGCTGCAATAGATTGATAATGGTGATGGCATAGATGAAGGATTCCACAGCCAAGACGCACCGCGTCCCTGTCCCGACAGGTGTCACACGAGAGTCGGTCAATAATCCAGAACAAAGTATGATTCGGCAATGCACACAAAAATTCATTTACGTTGAAAATAGCCTGAATCATCATTCCACCATCCCACAGTGCCCACTGGGCAGCTGCAATGCCCGGGTCTGTGTAAAATGCAGGCAGAAATATGAGGATGGCCATTGAGGTCATCGCCTGGCATCGCATGATGCATAAGAAGGTGGCGACCGTGCTGATAAGCAATCGTAACAAATTGGGATGCAGTATAACATTGACGCTGATAAGCCTGTAGGCAGACATTTGTGGCTGTTAAACCACAAGCATTTGGTAGGTCTGCCCGCAGATCCGAACCAGTCACCACTGGAAAGCCAGATCTGAGCTGGCGAGGTCGCCACTGGAAAGCCAGATCTGATCTGGCGGGGTCGGCGCGTAAATGACGAACGCCGTCGACGTGGCAGAGCAGTCTGCCAGTAAGACAAAGAACCCCGCAGATTAGCATCAACACGGCTTCGAGAGGAAGGGGGACTGGGAGGAGGAGAGAACGAACGAGCCTGCTGACGTCCCAATATGGACAACGAAAATAAAGGAGGGGGCAGGTCTCAGCCGACGTGGGAAAGAGGAAGACAAACTAGAGGAGACAAATGAGGAAGAAGAAGAAGAAGAGGACGAAGAAAAGGATGATGAAGAAGAGGAGGAAGTAGTAGAAGTATAAGTAGAAGTAGAAGTAGAAGTAGAAGAAGAAGAGGAAGAAGAAGAAGAAGAGGAGGAAGTAGAAGAAGAAGAAGAAGAAGAAGAAGAAGAAGAAGAAGAAGAAGAAGCGGAAGAAGAAGAAGAAGAAGGGGAAGAAGAACAACAACAAGGAGGAGATGACAAAGAAGAAGATGCAGGCAAAGAGGAAGGAGAAGGAGAGGGAGGGGGAGAGGAAGAGGAAGGCAGAGAGGAAGGGGAAGGGGAAGGGGAAGGAGGAGGGGGAGAAGAAGAGGGAAATGGAGAGGAGGGGGAAGAGAGGGGAGAGGGAGGGGGAGGAGGATGAGAAGATGGAAAAGAGGATATATACATTATACGCATATCTCACCTGCCTTCCCCATGTCGCTACTCGCCCGAACATTCCACCGAAGCCACGTGCAGAAGATACTCAGTCCTTTCCCTCCCTCGCTTCTCCAAACAATCGCTCTCTACATAAACCAACACACACAGAGAGCAACACACAGAGCAACACACACACACAGAGCAACACATACACATCGGTGAAAATCCGACGAAACAGTCTGGCACAGTCATGCTTTTTTTTTTTTTTTTTTTTTTTGTTTTTTTTTT